GCTGCTTGTCCTACTGCCTCCAATGAGTTGGATGCAACAGGAGATCAACAATATAATGATACAAGTTGACATTATCAGGTTTCTTCCAATTAGCCAGGTCACAGTCCACTAGATTATGACTGTATGTCGGTGAATGCATGTACCCTTGTGGCAGGACCAGAAAGGTCCACTGCCTGCTTCCCCACATAAACACAACCTGATCTTGCAGTTTTTCAGTAATTAAAATACTGAAGAACACATTCACCAAATCTAGGACACAGTGGTATGTTTTTATTTCTCTACTCAATATGTCCACTAGGGAGGCAATACTGGGTATGTCTACATGAATAGGCGGCGTGACCTTGTTTAACTCTCTGTAGTTCACTGTCATTCTCCCTGTTCCATCTGACTTCCACACTGGCCATATGGGGGACTTATATGGGCTATACGCAGGTCTTATGCCTACATTTTCTAATTCCTGCAGTGTTCCTGATATTTCATCTTGCCTACCTGGAAGTCTATATTGCCTTACATTAGTAATCTGGCACTGTTTTGGCAGGCAAATAGGCTCATGCTTTGCCTGGCCTCTCAATATTGCCTGTACCACTCAGACACTAATACACCTTTGTCAGAGTCTGAACTTTCCCTCAGTCGTCTGGAGAGCCAGACCCCATAGAATGCCTATGCCCAGAATATATTATTGGACCAAGGTAATAGATGCCTGATACTTCTGGGGTGGGAGATGCCCAACCCTCAGTTTCAAGCAGGTCTGGGGGACTGGTATGGTCTGTCCCCCAAAATCTCCAATTATCACTCTATCACCAGTATCTAGTCGGATCTCCATAGATTATCAATGTTTCCACCCCTGTATCAACTAGCACCATAACTCTCTGAATGTTTTTTCAGAACCAGAAAAATGTCAATTCCACCTAGGGCCTCTGGTCTCTTCTGGAGGCCCTAGAGGAATTAACATCCCTTGTCATGCCATGAACTGTGCTGGAGTCTTTTGTTTCTTGAGCACTGTTGCCTGAGACACCTGGGGAGGCTTCTTTTTTCTATATGAGTAATGAAATCCTCTAGGTTCCGTGTTGTTGGTACTCTTTCTATAACTCTTACCCTCTTTTTTTTAGGGTAATTTTGAAATTTCTTATTTCTTAATTATCCTTCAGCTGTCTCCAAAGCTGAAGGAGGATGTGATTGGGCTGGTGATCAATTTTTGTGAATTGAACCCCAGCCCGGATAAGATCGTTGAACATTTGCTTTCACAAGACCCTTATGGGCTCCAATTGAGGATTCTGTACAAGTGGCTTCTTGGTTTTAGTTACTCCAGGGAATCCGTTGTAAGTGGAACCTCCAGATCTGATTTAGAATTTTTATTTTCCTGCTCAACCAGGTCTGTTGTTTCAGAAACACGGTTATTATCTATTGAAATATTATGGACCTAGCTTATCAGAAGATGCAAAGTTGGTCTTTTCCCCGTTAATACACTAAGTCCCTGTTCCAATTTCTCAATGCAATCTTTCAATAACTTGTTTTCACTTTCCAAAGTGTCAGCTCTTATTTCAGCTTGGTTTAAGGCATTCAACAGTGGCCATGCCACTGTAGAAGCAGCTAACTGCTGTTCTTTTGTAATTAGGATGTCTTTACCTAATCCTTGATATTCTGCCATGCAGAATGGAGAAACATTCCCCATAAAACACTGGGGACTCCATTTTTCAATTACGTTTGCCAATTGATAATAAGGAGAACCCAGAAACCTTGGGATCTGTCCAGGGATTGTTTTATCTAGGGGGGTGATGTTCTCCCCCCAACCCATTTATAGATTTTCCAAAGAAAAGGCATTATATCTATTTTAGTCTATTAAGCCTGCCTGGCTCACCAAATGTGCAATCAATAAGTACACAGAGGTTAGGCTTGGTAAGATGTAAGATCAATAAGTATACAGATGTTAGGCTTAGTAAGATTATAACTGTGGAAAGATAATAAAAATAAATGGAAATGCTCACCAATGTTGTAGGCTTGTGGTAAACTCCACAAGGATCTCCAGAGAGATCCTTCCTCAGTGGCAGTCAGCCCTTAAACGGGGTCTTAGAGAGGTACAGCCAGGCTTCACCCCTTCTGGTTGTGGCTGACTTACTGCTTGCCTCAGGTGGTCAACCACAGATGCAGGCCAGGATCAATAGTTCCCATACAAATGCACATGAAATTTCAGCTGTGTTCTGATAGCTGAGGTTCAGATGCTCCCACTGAAGAGAGATTTGGAGTGAAGACACAACAGCTCTGGAAACAGGAGGACTCATTGCACATCCTGAGTATTTATGGTTGACAAAACACAGCTTGAAATAATTTTTTTTTAATTAAATTTTGCAGAACTGAAAATTCTTGCTTTGAGCATAGGAACAACTCAACAAGCTTTAGCAACTGTCTCTTTCTCCACCTAGCATCAGCAAAGTTCTTTAGTAAGACTTAAGTATGTAACAGCTTACTTCTAGCAGGATACCCTATAAAATGCAAGTTCATTGCACACTTCCATTGCAGGCTGATCTTACTTCAGGATGCGTTTTCAAGATTTTGAATCTAATTTTTTGTAACTAAATGTCAATACTAATTAATTCTGCTGTCAAGACATTAATTAACTCCATATTATTCACTCCTCTACAGGAATGAATAGAAAAAAACTGCCAATACCTCATTTTCCCACCTCTGCCCCTATCCTTTTGCTGAAGGGCAGAGCAGAATATCGTCCAGAGTATTCTTGAAAGCTGGAGAGCCGTTCAAGAGAGAAGATTAGGTAGATTCCATGCAGGGGACATTACCAATAAACTATTCCAAGTAGATCTGGTACCAGCCCTCTGACTCCTTCAGCTAGAATGTCTACACTCAGTGTTGTAGGAGATATCTAAAGAAACTGGAGACTTTATAATCCAGATTAGCTGCTTATAGAAGTTTTGCAAAGGACCAGGCATCACAGAAATCCGATTTTTCCAGGATGAGAGCGAAGCTCACGTATAAGAAAGGGCAAAATACACTAGGCCCGTCAAAATGGCAGATAAGATGAATTATAAACCTATAATTCCCTTTATGCCAGCTTCTTTGTGAAAGATGAATTTTGTCCTTGTTTTATTTGCAGCTGCTTTGTGACCCTAAGAAGAACCTCACTGATAGTGCTGGTTTGTGTTTAAGCTGGCTGCACAATGATGCGCCAGCTTCATAATTCATGAGGAATTAGGTTCTCTAAGAAATGAGTTTCGAATCTTCTTTGAAATAAGTTGGATTTTTTTGTGGTTTTTTTTTTTTTTTCCTCCTGTGCTTCAAAGTTCTGCTCAGCCTAGAGGTCCATACTGCAAAGCTTTTTTCAGGTTTTTCACTCTGACCTGAAAGCAACTATGGCAGAGGGAAGCGTTCGTGGTGATAATGAAGAAGACTCTACAAACTCTTGGAGTTCTTTTTGGCTTCTCCCTTCTCAAGAATATGGTCTTTATATGAGTGAAGACTTTACTCAGTAGCTACTTTCTGAGGCATTCAGGGCATATAGAAAATGTAATTACATGTAATTGTAAATGTATTACAACTGGGTATTTTTTCCATCATGAGAAACGAAATAGTAAATAATTGAAGTGTTATTTCAATAGGATGAAAAGTGTTATGGAGACTAAAAAGACCACAAAGCCATAATTAAAATGGAATTCTCAATCCTTATTCCTCCTTTGGAAATCTGAGCAGTATGTATTCTGGAATCCCTTTTACAAGTGTAAGCTTTTCTTTGTATGCAATAGCAGCATCACTTCTGACCAGCTTTCTGATTGCTGAGACAGGCAGAGAAATTCTGGAGATCTTTTGAATGATGAAAAATCACTTTCTTTTAACCTTGTTAGAAGCCTTGTCAGTGCAGCTGGAGAACTGCATAAAAGAACATCTAAAATGATGGCAAAAACCACTACAGAAGTAATTGGAAAAAAAATGGGACTGCAAAATCAAAACTGTAATTTCTTAACAATTGCCCTCAGTTTTAAAATACCAGTTTAGGAATGATGGAAAGTGAAATTTTTTACATCATTTAATCACCAAAAAGATTAGGAGTCTCCAAAGCAGCAGCAGCAAGCAAGGGAATACTTTTATATGTATATATAATGATACCATCTAGCAGAGAGGTCGTTAACCAGTATGCTTTCTTGGAAACAAAGATTTTCTACCAGAAATGTGAAAATTGTGATTCTATGGGGAAAATGTTTCATCCAAAAAACAAACAAACAAAAATGATAAAACATTTTGGACTTCACGCAAAACTTCTTTTTAACTTCTGGAGCTATTCAAGATTTGTCATAAATACTGTAGTTCATGACTTTAACACTGTTTCCCCTCCAGCAAAATCAGACCACAAAAAAAAAAAAAGTCACATGTGCTTAAGATTACACAGGACTCAAGGCAGATAGCCTTGAGCTTATGCAAGAATTAAGATAAAGTGGTGCAACTGGCAGCAGTTCAGCATTTCTCAGCTGCTCGCTTACTCTCCCCAAATGGGATTGGAGAAAGAATCAGAACGGTAAAAGTTCCAGAACTCATGGATTAAGATAAAGATAATCTTCTACTAAAACAGAAGCTGTGCATACAAGCTAAGCAAAACAAGGAATTAATTCACTACTTCCTATTACAAAGCAGATGTTCACTTCCAGGAAAGCAGGGCCCAGATCACACGTGACTTGTTGGAACGTCCACTGTCCCTCCTCACCACTCAGTACAAAGCTACCATCTGTCAGACAAACTAACACTAACACAGCAGTATAAATCCAAATACTTTTGATGTTTTGACTGACCAGCCTGGGCTTGATACCTCCAGACTTTGGAGAAAGGACTGGGAGGAAAAAAAAAAACCTTTGATGCACAGATGAAAAGTAGTCTGTAAGAAGCAGATTGTTGCAAATGCAGGAAATGCTCCAAAACCGTCAGGTTTTGTTCCTACAAAAACTTGTTTACCAAAAGTTGTGTGATGTTAAAATCACAAGCAACACCAAAGAGCTTAATAAGTTGTTTGGATTTTTATTTTTCAGTTAGGATTTAGGCCTCAAGAGATTCAATAACTGATCAATAAAAACCGTAGGCAACAAAATGTTTTTGGAAAAAACTCCATTTGGAATTTAACACTTCCTTTAACTCATACATGACTGTCACCCATACATCTTTTCTTCAATTCTTGTAATACTTTCCATCATATAAAAAGAATGACAACCTGTACTTTGAGAACATCAGCATTAAGATATGTATTTATTTTTTAAATTCTGTCTTCGGTTTTTGTGCCACCATATGCCTAAGCTGTTTGTTTTGATGACATTATCCCAGAAGAAGAGAAAAAAAAAAAAAAAAAAAAACCTGATGAAGGAAATGTCAAAGCAGTCATTACAGAAAGATTATAAGTGAATCAGAAATCATTAACCGTGAATTACAGGTCTAAGAAACAATATCAAAAAAGGTTTATTGCAGAAAAAAATTACTTATATGTGTGTGTGTAGCTCCAAAAGTAATACATCCTATTTATTTCCACAGAAACTACAATAGATACAAAGAGCTCAATAACGCCATTTGATGGAGCAAATTCTGAGCTACAAAAAATTATTTTTCCACATAGTCACTGCTAACAGCTGTGCATTTTCACAAGTGATGAACAAGAGCTGCATGCTGCTCTATCCAAAATCTACCAGAGATAATCTTGACCAATTCCCAGCTCAAAACAGGGATAACTTTAAGGCTAAAGCCATGGCAGATAGGCTCTCTTGTGGAATTAATGAAAATACTCTTTTGTGTCTACATTTTGAGTGCTAAGATGAGAGTTCTTTGATCTCATCCACGTCATCTGTGAAGAATGCAATAGATTTCAGCGCTACAATTGGTGATATTTTTCACCAGAAGCTTTAATTCCAGCTTGTGAATTACTTCTGCTTCTAATTTAGAGATTTTTTTCCTCAATCTATGCAGTACCACCTCCTTCTGCAAGTCAGAATGAAAAATCTGTTTATCCTAACTGTTCCACACAAAAGCCAATGTCTAAAAAAATATGTGAAAGTTCCAGGTACACTGACTGGAGTGTTTATCTTAATGCAAGTCCCTTCAAACATCATCCTTGACACAAAGGAAAAGTGTGATTATAAAGGTTGACAACCAAAGGATAAATGGAATGGAAAGACACGTAAATAGATTAATGAGGATTATTGTAGAGCATAATAATTCAAGCCACAACTAAATAATGCTGCTAATAAACCCTGTACAGCTTAATTGCAGTAAACCAGGTGTTCCCTGAGGAGCAGCATTCATTCTAATGAAAGAGGCCACCCAGTGCCAAGTTGGTTGCAAGTCTTAATTCCCACTGCTCTTCTGAAACCAATCAGATTTACTGGTCTGTTTTAAGTCACATTATTAATGGACAATCTAGATCATCAGTCTTTTCTACTCTCACTCCAAACACAGAGTGCTATAGCCTAACTATCAGTATGATGCTCCCTGGATAAAACATTTAGGTTACTAATGTATTGAAGCTAAAGGAAAAACTCAGCATTGCTCTGCCAGCATACACCTGCTACCAACCTTCCCACAGGGCTCAGAGCAATTCCAGAATAGAGTTCAGCTCCTCCATTATACGAGAGACGTATTTCCTCGTTCTTAAAGCTCTGGCATTTAGTACAATAAACTAATGATCCTTCCTGTCAAGTGTTTTTCATTTTTTGGACTTAATTGGATTTTAAAAAACAGTATTTTATTTCATCAATTGGAAGATTAGATCTGACAAACTGATGTTCTAAGAATAAGTCACTGTCCTAGGATTCTGACTCCTAGGCCTGATGACAAAAGTATGCTATTCATTCACTTCAGGTATCTCAACATTCTCCCTTTCATTATAAGTAACAAGTTTTGTGGTTTTTTTCATTGTTAACATGTTCTGAGGAAACATCATCATGTGAATTTGTTGTTTATACATATATAAACTATGACATGCATGTTGCAGGCTTTTGTTTTATCTCTGGGGCAAGACAAGGACAAGAAAGGGCAGGAATACTATTAAACTGGATCAACCTGGAGCCATCTCCAACATCTCTCAAACACCAAACCAGTCCATCAGAGTGGAGGTAGGTGTATGGAACAGGAGACTCCATCAATGACTGCTAGGTGCTGCTACTCAGATTCTGGACATATCATATGTGTGGGGAAAAAAAAAAAAGCTCAAGTATTGACATCTCATGAAAAAGTCTCCTGTCTTTAAATCCACATCACAGCACAGTAGTCTGGGAGAAGAAACGTGTCTTCATTTTTATTTTTCCACAGACCAGTTTGTGCATTGGACTTTTAAACTCCTTTCTGTTTTCCAGTATTTCATTTTCAGTATTTACTGTTCATTGTTGCCAAGCAGTTGTTCTCTGAAGACATAAAGAAGAATTTTTTTTTCCATGCAGCTCCATAATGATATTGATAACTTTCAGCCCATAAAACAATGCTTAGCAAATAATCTCTTTCCTTGCTTTTCGCCTACTTTGAGTAAAATCCAACTATAAATAATGCATGGAGAACACAGTTATGACAAATGGTTTCCTATAAAATAATATGATACTAGAGTATCTGATAGGAGAGCTCTGAAAGTCTGATGAACCATTGTTACCAGCCTCACAATTCTCCATGAAAAGTTACTTGAGAAGTAGGAGAAAATATCTGCAAATACTTTGCTGTAGAGCTAATGAAAAACTTAAGACGACCACCCATTTTCTGTGCAACTGGAATATGCAGGGGATTAAATTACTTACAGTCAAAATGGGATTGAAATGTCCCATAATAAGAGGCTTCTGAAAATAATAAGGGAAGTGCAGAGAGGGAAATTCTATGTTAAAAGATTGGTGTATGGATATTAACAGACCTGTATTCCAAGTTTTTTTGTCTAGCTTTTGTAGATTTTAAAAGCACTTGCTTTACTTGAAAAGCAATTTGAAAGGTTTTATTTAGCAATATGCCTTGCTAGAAAGCTATGTCTGTGTGGTGACAAATAGTTCTAATATCTCTATTTATGTAAAAGTAGGCACTGACTTCAAAGTCATTAGACAGGTAGCCAGTCTGTGCAGTCTTAGCAATGTTTGTTTGCCAGTGATCTACCTTCTGCAGTTTAAATTGGTTGATCTGGTCAGACTGCAAGATTAATAGCACTTCAACACACAGGCCTATTTCTAAACTCTGCCAAGGACAGTAGTATTTGCTCCTCACTTTTTCATTTTCAGTTTACAGAAAAGTTTCTTTAAATTCTTGAGGATGAATAATGCAAATAAAAAAAAAAAATCAAAATTGTTATTGGCAGCTGTTTTATTTAACTGTAATGTCTTCTTCAATGCTGAAATACTAAAAATCAGAGTAATAAATTTACCAAGGCTGGAAAAGACCTTCAAGATCATCCAGTCCAAACATTCACCTATCTCCAATGTTTCCCACCAAACCATGTCTCTCAGTATAAAATCTAAACTGTCCTTGAACACCTCCAGGGTCGGTGACTCCACCACCTCCCTGGGCAGCCCATTCCAGTGCCTGACTACTTTTTCTGATAAGTAGTATTTGCTAATGTTCAATCTGAAGCTCTCCATGACTTTATTTTCTCTGCATCCACTGATATGAAAGTGATAAATTTTCATCAAATGTTATCAACACTGTTTGTTTTTGTGGGAAGAATAATAATTATATAACCTAAGTTCCCTTTTAAAAATCCTCAAAGTTGTGGTACATCAGTTTCAATTTTCATCAGGGTTTAGGACTATGCAATAGTTTATGCAGAGAGCTATGTTAACATTTTTCTTTTGAGCAAGGGTAAAACAAACACAGAAATTCAAAACAATACTATGGATACAGAGTGAAAATATAATATCTTGCAGATGACAGGAAGTAAACAAAGTGTTTTAAATATCAAGACAGACAATTATATATCTTAAATCCAAATGTTTCCTCAAGCTGTTAAAGCAACACCTCCTTGTGTTTTTTTGGCCAGTCCAGTGTAAGCCAAGAGCAAATCTTCCTCAAATCTTACCTATACTTAGTACAAAAGCACAGCATAAGTGCTTTACACATAATGAGTGAGAAAACTTAAAATATGGAAGCTCCCTTTTCCTTGACAGTACATAAATGTCATCTATGCATTTAAATCATAAAGTTATGAATCAGTGATTAAACAATGATCTATGATTAATAAATTATGAACATGGTTACATGATTCTGCAGAATATTTGAGATCCACTGATTTGCTGAAGCTGTTTTGCTTATATAGCTGAATATTTAAGCATTAAAGAATAAAAGAACAGCTTAGCCTCCTGTATGGGGTCAGACTAGAGGCCCTTTCAGCATGGAAAACAGCTTTCATCTATGGCCATTAGCCACTGGGAGATAGTTAGCCAGACACTCGCTATAGCTAGAAAACAGGGGGAGTAGCCTCTTTGGTATGTACAAAAAGAGGGCAAATGAACAACTTGTACAATCCCCCTCAGTATATCTCATTAGAGGAGCACTTGCTCCTCAAAGTTCAGGACACGGAGAATTTTCCAAATCTGTTGCAATTTCACCATGACATATAATTCAGAAGGCTTTGATGTTTGTGTAAAACCTTAAGCGGCAAATTCTTTCAACTCCGGGCAATTTGTTCCAGGATTTACTTCTCTTAAGTTAAAAATAGTGTTGTTTATTTCTGCTTGGATTTAACTGTTGCTTTCTAAAGAGTTCTCTGAACATGTTAGTGCAGTATGGAGGAACTCCAGCTCCCATCTGCTGAATATCTTTGTGCGTTAAAAGTGCATATGCAAGTTAAAAAAATATTAACAGAGACTGCAGTGAGAAAACAAGAGCCTGTAGAAGAACCTGTAGAGAAAATAAGAACCTCTTACAGAAAGAAAACCAGAATTGTAAAATAATATTTACATGATTATAATTTCAGTAGGATGAAAATATTAACATGAACTAGATATTTTATGCCACAGTTCCAAACACTTTTTTGGGGATACAGGAAGAATTCAAATCTGCTGCCACTATGTTTCACAGCAGCCTCTGCAGCAAAAGTGAGAAAACTTTTGATGCTCGTGGATATTTTTTGATCTTGTGGTAACTCTGGGATTCAGTCTTCTCTGATTTCAAATAGGTAGGAGGGGAACTTCTATAAAGTACTGTATAGTAAAAGGTATCTTATTCTTTATTTAGAATGAAAGACTGACATCAGTAAGATTGAAGACTGTGGTTTGCCAGAGTGGTTTGCCAGAGTTCAGCTAATACTTTTGCCAGCTGAATTATAACTCAGTTCTGACATTTTGCAGTTTATCTTCTCTTGTTAAAAAAAAAAAAAAAAAAAAAAAAAAAAAAAAAAAAAAAAAAAAAAAGCCATTAGGCAAAACAGTAAGTCATTATTTTACTTCCTCTGAAGTGAGAACTGAGAACAAAGAATGGGAAATTGCTGGTCACCATGGAAATCTGCTAATCATGCAATGTGTTTGCGCTTGTTTAGACTGGAGAAGGCTCTGGAAATAACTCATTGCAGCCTTCTGATAGTTGAAGGAAACTCATAAGCAGAAGGGGCACCAGCATTTTGTATAGTCTAATAATGATAGGACAAAGGTGAAAGGCTTTAATCCAAAAGAGTGGATATTTAGAAGAATTAGGAAAAAATGTTTTGCTTATATGGTGGTGAGACACTGAGAACAGTGGAGCTGTGAATGCTCCATCTCTGGAGGCTAGGCTGCATGGGGCCCTTGGCAGCCTGATCTAGTGTGTGGGAGTTGGGTCTGGATGGTCTTTAAGGTCTCTTCCAACCTGAGCCATTCTATGCCACGTGAGCCTTAGTTTTAGGTGAATGTGTAAATTATCTGATAAGTTTCTGTTCCTTGGGGAGAAAGCAAAATTCTTACTTTTTTCTTAGCCTAAAGAAATCAAGAATAAATTATTTCTTTGCAATATGATCACTGGCAAAACACTCAGATGTATGAGGAGTAGAATTTTATGTCTTTTTTTATCATTTGGCAATTGCCAAATTGTAACAAATCTTGCCCTTGAAAATTATCATTACTATTAATTTGCAAACAGTTACTTAAAGATGCACATTGTTGCAGTGGGATTTCTGAAATCTCAGCACAAATCAAGTTATTCCCCAATACAATCCAGTGACATTAACAGGGACTCCAACAGCATCCCAGTGATACCTGCTCTGCTCCAAACGACACCACAGCTGTGTGCTTCAAGTTGCTGGACTGATAATTAAGTTTCCATCCCATGCTGCCCACAGAAAACAGATAATGTAAACAAATTTTTATGTTTTTCAAAAATTAGATATAAAATCAAGGATATGAATATGACTGTACTTGCCCATGCAAACTGAATCCCAAAGATAGTTCTCCAAGACTATTTCATGAGTACAAATGCCTATGGATCTTCTAAGATGGAGGAAAATGTAGAAAAAGTGCACAGTGTGTACGACGATGCAGCAGATATAGCCAGAGATACTCTGTACCTCAGGCTTAGGATTTTCAGCTGCCAAATCTTTCCCATAGTAAGCGGGCTGGTAAAATAGAGGCATTAGCAATGACTAAACTAAGAGGTACACTGTAGAACTCTAGATCTTCTACATGGCATCCACATCTCTGAAGCTCACTACACTGCATCCTGATGGTTTACCCCAGTATATTGTTTTTGAGACCAACAAGTAATTATAGAAACTTGCTTCCAGCTGAAGAATAACGCAGCTGAAATTTAGCAGCTGAAAGTTCCCCTGGCAGTATTCTCAGTTCAAGAGAATTATTTATTGCTTGATCACATTGGCCAACTGAAAAAGTAGAATCTGTAGGAAAACAACATTGTGTTTGGGCATGAGTCAGTGTTGTGATTCCTTTGTTATTTTATTCACAAAAGGGCAAAAATCAGATGTATGAAAAATTAGAACAAGACAAGCTGTAAAGTGAATTTCTAAAAGGCAAGTTTCATGTTGCTTTGTGCCTTGGATGTGCTTTACAGTGCACTTCTGCACAAACTCACCTACCCAAATCTACTTTTCCTACACTGGAAATACCAATCCCAGTGTACAGCCTGTGAACAGCTGATTCATACAAATGGATTTTCCCTAGACAACCTTATCAGCTTTGCCAGCTACACCCAGCCTTCTACATCACAGTTCATACAAAGACAAGCAAACTTTGTTTCTATCACTTTAGTTATAGCAAAGAAAACACACTTGGGCAGCATCTGTACATAGTGAATGAAGAATAAATGAGGAAAGTTTGAAAGCTCTGAGTCTTTGATTTTTTATATCTGAAACTAACCCTGCTCAAAACTCCATGAAGCCATTGAAATCTGTGTCATTGTTCATTTTCTTCTGCAGAAAATATATGTCAAGGAGAGTAAACGAAAGTATTCATTA